GCATACATCACATGTTTATAAGGTGATAAAGTATAATTTTGCCATTATTTATGAATGTATAATAATAATTAATAGGCATTTTACTTGTATCGCACGTGTGCGTGCGTGCGTGCGTGTGTGTGTGTGTGTGTGTGTGTGTGTGTGTGTGTGTGTGTGTGGATATCTAAGATGTAAAATAAATTAATACTGTAAGAATAAACAGTAATTTTTAAATACTCAAATCTCGATTATTTGAACATTTCAGATTGAAAAAATTGTAGAACAATTAGTAATCGTAAAACCAAATCCTGGTGAGGTTACACTCAATTTGGATACAGTTTTATTTGTAAACAAAGGAACAAAAGCGCTCGGTAAAATATTTGATGTATTTGGTTCTGTAAACGAACCGTATTACTGCATTCGCTTCAATGATGCTAAACATATACAGGATAATGATATTAAAGTGGATATGCAGGTGTATTATTGCCCGAACTCGGAGTACACGTCTCTTGTTTTCTTACATGAGTTAACAAAGTTGGTACTTTAATGAATACAGCATATATTACATGCGATTGTAATATTGTGTATTTAAATAAGTAAATAAATTAAAATAAATATTTTCTTTCAGGCTAAAAGCTTGTGATGCAATTGGTGACGATGAGCCACCAGAATTTTCAGATGATGAGGAAGAACAAGCTTATTATGAAAATTTGAAGCAAAAAGGTACCAAAGATTCTAATGGCCAGAATTCGCAGAAACGCCAACGTCGGATGGGTAAATATATTAATTACAAAATTAGTATCAGTTGTTATAAACAACTAATAATTTTTACCGATTGATTTTTAGATTCTCGCAACACAGAAATGGGCTGGCAATCAAATCATCCGTGGAACAGAAATAAAAAAGTTCAACCTCAAAGATATAAACAGAAGCAGCAAAATTGGAGTAGTGGTAGTCATTTTAATTCTACACAGAATGGAACATATTCTTATAATGCTTGGCAACAATATCCATATCAAAATAGTGCTTATTGGCAACCAATTCCACAAAACATGTATCCAATATCTAACAGACCATATACAGGCTACAGACCAACATTTAGCGGATCACGTTTGCCACAGTATAACAATCCAAGTAATTTGGATGGCGCACACCAATATTATCAAGGTACCAAGCCTAATTTCTAAAGCAAGCTTGTCCAATTTGAGCTTCGGAGCTCAAATTGAACAGGTCTTTTCTAAAGTAACAGCAGACAAAATCGATATCTTATAATTCTCTTCGGTATTTCTCCAAATCAATATTATGTGTTTGTCCGTAGCGATAGATTATCGTCCCAATGTATACATGCCTTCTTATTCAACTTGGCCACCAATATTGATGACGAATACACATTGGTTTCCACAAGTTCCTTCATCTTCTTCAAACACAACGGATGCGAAGAATGTCGATCCAGATTCATCTAAATAACTTAATGCTGAATATTAATAGGATAATAAAATAATGATTGTATTTTTATGTAGTAGTATGTTCTTATTCCACACACATTTTTTCTATTATTTTATATACTAAATTGTCAACAAAATTCTGAATAATTCTTCTCGGTTTTTATATACAAATTTATTAAAAAATGATGACAATTCTTCAAAATACGGACGACATATTCAATAATTCTCTATGAATCTGTTGAATCTATCTCTTGAAAATGTCAGATTTGATTTCTGTATCTTCGAATTTTTTAAACGCAAAGAATTCATGACAAGCTGCCTCAATCTGCTCAATAGTTTTATTGTCCTTGCAAGAAATGTTTTGAATCAGATAGGCATAGTCAAACGGAGCAAGAGGACTTTGTTAAGCTTTGGCAAGCACCAGCACTTTTTCAGATTTTCATACAGTTCGGAACAATATAAAAATTGCATTGAAATTCAGAGATCCAGAGCTGATGAAAGATAAAATTCCATTTTGCCGGCGGAAGGTTATTAAATATGCAACTCTAGAAGTAACAAAAATAATTCTTTACAAAAAATTTTCTTTATCAGACAAAGATTTACATTTTTCTTATTACGGATATGCTTTATTAATCATTAAAAAATCATCATTTTTCAGCTTATTTACAACTGGTTCCTCCAATTGACGCTCTGCGATTACAATATCATTCTTTATCTCTGTGATGAGTTCGTCTGCAATAATAAATAATATAAAATTATCTTCTAAAGTATTAGTAATAGCGATTTTAAAGTAATAGCTATTTGAATTACTTTGAGAGAATAGTAATCCCTTTACATATATTTCCGATTTACATATATTTCATTATTACTACCTTGATCAAAAAGTTCCCAGAATTCATTCAGAAAATTCAAAATACAAATTTTATTCATCAAAAGTGATATTGTCCCCTTCAAAGTACTCCCCATCGACTGCAACGCACTTATGCCAGCGCTTGATCCAGCTCTCGAAACATTTCTGGAACTCTATTGTCGGTATAGCCATCAGAGCCATCTTCGATTTTTCCATTATCTCTTTTCGGTTGTTAAAATGCGTTCCCCGTAATGGTTTTTTGACTCGATCGAATAGAAAAAAATCGCAGGGAGCCATATCAGGTGAATTCGATGGCTGTTGGATGGTATTCGTTTCGTTCTTGGTCAAAAATTCACGGATAATGATTGCACTGTGCGACGGTGCGTTATCATGATGCAAAATCCACGAGTTGTTTGCCCACAAATCCTTTCTTTTTTGGCGAACTGCTTCACGCAAACGTCTCATAACGCTCAAATAATACTCTTTATTAACTGTCTGACCTTCTGGCAAAAATTCGTGATGTACAATACCATTGTAATCCATGAAAACCATGAGTATCGCTTTCTTTTTCGACTGAAAACGACGTGGTTTTTTTGGTCTTGGCTCATTTGAAGCTTTCCATTCACTAGCCTGATGTTTGGATTGCGTGTCGTACTCATAAACCCACGTCTCGTCTCCAGTAATGATGCGTTTGATGAATGTTGGGTCGGATTCAGCCTTGGAAATCATGTCTTTGGCGATGACAACACGGTCCCTTTTTTGCATGAAATTCAATTCCGGGACCAACTTTGAAGCAACACGGCGCAAACCCAAACCATTAACTACAATGTCCTGAATGGATCCATAAGCAATGTTTAAGTCCTCTGCCAGCTCTCTGATAGTTAATTTGCGATTGTTGATCAACATTTCTCTCACTTTATTGATGTTTTCATCGGTTTTCGATGTCAACGGCCTGCCACTGCGTTTATCATCCTCGACGGACTCACGACCACTTTTGAAGCGTTCATGCCACTCATAAACGGTTGTTTTCTTTAGAGTATCACTGCCGAAACAGTTTCCCAACATTTCCAAGGTTTTCACACCATTGAATCCATTTTTAACGCAAAATTTAATACAAACTCGTTGTTGCAAATTCAACTCCATTTTTAAAAAATCGAAAATACGTGCAGAGGTAGATGTACTCAAGACGGCATAACTTTTACAAATGTCAAGCTATGATGATAAAATTTGGTGGGAATGTCAATGATAGATGTGGCAACCTAACCAAAAAACAGAACTCAAATCAGCTGACTCAGAGCATCACCTGGTGATAATTCCGGGAACTTTTTGATCAAATTGGAATGAATGTCCATTACCTAAAGAAGAGAAATCTTTTTCTGGTCTTATATATCCACCAATTATAATCTTGAGCTCCTCACCGTATAAATCTCTTTGGAATTTGTGTAATAGATGAACTTCCTGCAAAATAATTATAATTTGTATTTACTTAACACACTAAGATATTTTTTTAAATATAATAAAATATTTTATAATTGTTTAAATA